TGCAGAATTCGTGGCAGGTGCAGCACTTTCGCAAGGTCAAGTGCAGAATTCGTGGCAGGTGCAGAACTTTCGCAAGGTCAAGTGCAAAATTCGTGGCAGGCGTCAAGTACAGATTTCGTGGCAGGCGCAGCACTTTTGCGAGGTCAACTTTCGCAGCCTGGGCAACTTTTAAGTGCGAAAGTAGTACGCGAAGTCAACTTTCGCAGCTGGCTTGAAAATCGCAACTCTTAAGTACGAAAGTAGTGCGCGAAGTCCACTTTCGCAGCTGGGGCTCGAAAATCGCAACGTTTAAGTAAGAAAGTAGTACGTGAAGTCCACTTTCGCAGCTGGGGCTTGAAAATCGCAACTTTTAAGTACGAAAGTAATACGTGAAGTCCACTTTCGCAGCTGGCGCTCGAAAATCGCAACTTTCAAGTACGAAAGTAGTACGCGAAGTCAAGATAGAAAGAGATAGAGAAAGAGATAGATAGATAGACAGATAGATAGATAGAGAGAGAGAGAGAGAGAGCAAGATAGATAGATAAATAGACAGAGAGAGAGAGAGAGATAAAGAGATAGAGAGATAAAAAGATAGATAGATAGAGAGAGAGATAGAGAGAGAGAGAGAGATAGAGAGATATATAAATAGAGAGATAGATAGATGGATAGATAGATAGATAGATAGATAGGTAGAGAGAATAGAGAGGTAGATAGAGAGATGGATAGATCTGTAGATCTATAGATAATTAGAAATATAGATAGATAGATCGATAGGGAGACAGAGAGATGGATAAATACACGTGAGATAATGAGAGAGATAGATAGATAGACAGATAGAGAGAAAGACAGACAGAGAGAGAGATAGACAGAGAGGTAGACAGAGGGATACATAGAGAGATATAGAGATAGATAGATAGAGAGATAGACAGATAGAGAGACAGATAGATAGATAGATAGATAGATAGACAGATAGAGAAAGAGAGAGACAGAGATAGAGGGATATAGAGAGATGGATAGATAGAGAGATAGAGAGATAGATAGAGAAGATAGATAGAGAGATAGATAGATAGGTAGTTAGGCATAGATAGGTAGAGAAAGATAGATAGACAAGCAAACGAAAGAAAGAAAAGACAGATAGAAAGAAGGAAAGAAGGGAGGAAAGAAGGAAAGAAAGGAAGAAAGGAAGAAAGGAAGAATGACGGAGAAAAAGAGTCAAGAAAAGAAAGAGAAAGAGAACTATAGTTTTTATATTTTTGAAACTTCCGCCCACCGGCTTCGCCGGCTCTACTGGTACCGAAGCTGGCCCTCAAACCGGGCGGGGCCAGCTAGCCAACCCGGACGGGGAGGTGGGGCGAGCCGGGCCGAATTTGGAAGATCCTGCTTCCCGGCCCTGGCTGCGGCAAATTTAGTTTTATTGCTTGATTTGGTTAATTGGGTTGGGCTGGACTGCATTGATTTGATTTGGTGTGATTTGATTGAACTGGATTGATTTGATTGGAGTGGTTTATTTTTTATTTGATTGGTTGGATTGCAGTGGATTGATTCAGTGTTGTGTTTGTTGGCAAGCTGGTGGGCGTTCTGAGAGTGACCACGTTGCAGTTTGCTTTGGAGGGCCATTTCAAAATTTCGTCAAGAAGAACTGCGTGCCAACAGGGGCTGACATGGGTAAGGCTGTTTGTCATTTCCAGTGTGTTTGTCAACAAAGATTGCAGTAAATTCCATGCTGTGGCGCTACGCAGCAGCCATCCCCACCACTTGTTTTTGAACCCATCCAGGGAACAGGAACAGCTCCACGTTCTCATCCCTCGTCTGATCCTATGGCCGTTCTTTTTGCCTTTCAACGGCTCGTTTTGCCCAAAACACCTCCCTGCGGGCGCATGAGCTGAAGCGTCGAGTTTGGCAAAGATTCGGACCCTTCTGGACAGCTTGAGAAGGAACATGAAGCAAATCAAAACCGCTGGTGTTGGGTGGGAATGATGATGACTCCTGCGCCAGCTTCAGCTGCGCCCAAGACTCATTAAAAGGTCTTTGGCCAGTTGGGTTGCACCAACATGCAATGCATCAGTGCCCTAGGCAGAAGCGTGAGCGTGAAGAAGGCCACCAAGGAAAAACCCAAGCGAGACGCTAGCGAGGACCATTCCAGGGAGCGGCACTGCACCTTGGCGAGAACTGCCGACGGCCGACAGGGGTTTGCTGTTGATCTCACTCGGTCAGTCAGCGGCATCATGTCGCGCAGCAACATCTCCTTCACTTTCAAGATGTCCCACTTGCATTCGGACTTGCATGGGCTTGCAGCGTGCATCCATGAGCAGAATGTGCTCGCTTATCCCAGGCCAATGGGAACCCAGCTCTGTGACAGAGGACTGCAACAAAAGCAAGTTTGCCACCGTGCCGCGTGGGCAACACCAGTGGAAGTAGTCTGTGTGCATTGAAAGTGGGCTTTACCTCCAGCATTTGCGAAGCACCTTGTGCTTCGCTTCCGGTGGCTTCATGGAACTGAACACCCCCTTCAAAGAGCCGCATCCTGCCAGGGCATGGCAGTTCAAAGCAACTCCTAATGAGACAGCATTGTAAGCTTGAGCCTGACTAGTCCGGAGCTGGGATTCAGGTTGGCTGTCATTCTAGAGAACATCAGGCCTGCTGACTTCACAATGAGTCAGCCGATGTGGTAGCATCAGCCCTCATCGCTTGTAGCCTTTGTCCACTGGTTCTGTTCTGCAACCCGTTTTGTCGAGCTTGCTGGTTTTTGCATTGTGTGACAATAATACTGCTGCATATGAAATGAAGATGGTCAACCATACAATGTATATTTGCTGGGTATATGATGTCTAAGGCTGTTGTTACTTTTGTTGGTATTCTAGTTCCAAACATGACTTATGAACGAGCCATTTGCTATGTATATATATATATATGTGTATTATACTGAGGCATTCACATACAAAAATGCAAAGTGAAACACAAAGTATGACAATGACCGTTTTTATGCGACCATCATCATCTAATGTTCCATAACTAAACGTGCATGTTGGTCATTGTTATAACATATGCTACACCTTAAACAAATAAATGGTTCAAACCAACCAACTACTCTTGTGCTTCATTACTATCCCAGTCTTGAGCTGAAGCAAACCCCTCTCTGTTTGCGGGGGATCGTGCCCCAGAATGAGGCTCAAGGGAGGCCAGAACTGTGTTTAGTGCTCGCGTTCCGCAGGACAAGGCCCGCGGCATGATTCAGGCTACCTTGCCTGGCCTTCGCCCAGACACCAGATACTCTCTGGCTGGCCTGTGTGCTGTGAACTCTGCTGCCCAGATGCACCCATGGTGCTGCGGTATGGCTTGCTAAAACTTGTTTAATGTTTGAGCGTGTATGCGAATGTAAGGGAGGGCCTGTAAACGCGTTGAAGCATTTAATGTTTAATCGGTTTGATGTTATGATGAAGGACCCCAACCTTTGGGGTTCTCGAGTTTAGGTCTGTATTTGTCATCAATTTGTGCAGATGAACTGTTGGCAAAGGCTAGGACAAAGGCTCAGACAGAAGCAAGCGTTTTACCAAGTCACTCCCGCAAGGTTGGTGCGGGCGCGTGCCGGTCTCAGCGACACGGGGCGAGCCCTTTCTTTGAGGGACCGGGGTGTGGGCTGTTCTTATTTGGCTGCAGGATAAGCCAACTGAGTCCACAAGACCGAGTTGAATCTTGCAAACGACGTGCATCATCGGGCTCCTTGCACAGTAAGATGTTCCAAGACATACAAACAAGCGGTTGGAGTTTTCGATTGAACCGCCCTGCGCAGCGAGGTGCTGTCCGACCTTGGAGTTTTGGACGATCCCGCTGATCCCCAGGGTCGAGCGCGTGCGGGTGCGACAGGGGCAGGCCAGCGCCTCAGACCACAGACTTGGGCGAGCTCCGAAGGGCCGCACGCTTTTCGGGTTGCTCGTTTTTTGGGCGACAAGCGGATGCAAGTACTCATCCTCTAAACAAGGACAGAAGGCTCCCCAACATCCCAAAGAGCCTTTCCACAATCTACGATCATCCACAAGGCCACCAAGCATGGCAGCGTGGCAAAACCATGTTCAAAAACGATTGATGATATGGAATGGCGCACTCAAAGCCCCGCATGTCCAGTTGCCAAGGTCCTTTTGGCTTTGTCGGAGACTGGCGGCTCGCCGCTCCACCGCAACTGGCACACAGCTGTGAACCTACAGTTCTCTCGACTTGGGCCAGCCATTGCACCTCAGGCAACATGCTCCCTAACTGGCCGAGGTTCGTGCATAATTACGAAGTGTCCATCCTCAAGGAGGGTGTGCCCGAAACGGACGAGGCCTGCCCAAGCAGCGAGTTTTTCACTTGACATGAGCAGCCTGTCCAAACGGGCGCTCTGGTAGCATGTGAGGTAACCTGGACGGTCCCACAGACAACGCTCATCTCTGATGCTGACGGTGAGAAGGAGGTGCCGCACTGAGCTGGCCTATGCCTAGGCGTGTGCCAATACAGACATAGCACTGAAAGGCCTTTGGTTCTTTCCGTGCTGTGTACAAGGCACTCTTGTCAACCCCCAGGGCCTTGATGCATTGTATGCTGAGGTCATAGTACCGCAGCCGGAGTGGCAGACTTAAGACCGGCGTAGCAAGCTTGCGTGGAGATAATGCATTCGTTTGTTCATACATGATTGAGTTCCACATCGGGCTTGAGTTGTGCTGACCCTTACAGCGAAGACAAAAGTGTAATATGAGCCTTGAACACGGAATCATTGTGTTCCCTCAACACTGCTCGTGTGGAGACGTGAAGCAGTGAGGACGCCAGCCCACAAGTGAAAGAGGGAATCAATCGGTGCGTTTGATGATGTCAAGCCTTGTATGTCCGGGGTGCTTGACAGGGCTTAAAATGAAAGCCTGCATCCGAACTTGTGAGCTTGGGTAGCAGAGACATGTTCGAAGGGCTTTGCCTTGCACCCCTCAGCGCAAAGGTTCGAGCCGCCTCTGAGGCTGCCTTTGCCATTTTCCGAGATGCCTGTTGCAGAATCGGCCCAAAAGCACCATCTCAGGCGGGCAGCTGGATCCAGACAAAACTCTTTGGCCTTGCTTAGTCAGGTGGAAATGCAAGAACGGGCTCGTCTGATATTGATATGGAACCTCAATTAAGCCACGCCAAGCTACAGTGACTACGAAACGTGGCAGCGCCACACCAATTGCTTAGCCAACTTGTAAGGGAACGGCTGTGAAGAGGTTCCAAGATGAAACACAATCCGCATGAGTTTAGCTGCTCATGCATTCCCACGCAGTTCCTGGACAAATCTCACTGGGGAGTGCTCCCTCCAGGCTCCGTGCCTGCAACGCGGGTGGCTGGTCAGAGCGGCCTGGACTGCAAGGGGCCTGTAAGTGTTTGTCAACTTGATGGCGGCATTTTTTTCATTGTTGTAAGCGAGCACTTAAAAGTTGTCTTTCCTTGGAAGTCTGGAGAGCGAAATGATCCATTGACAATGTGCGCATCATCAGTGTGCTTTGAGATTTGTAACCTCCTCTTTACGGCGGTCTTCACGTGTAAAACAACCTGGAGTGGCGCGTCGACCTGCTGTTATGGCATCTGGGTTTGGGTTAAGCGATGTGAAGCGTTTCTTTGGCTCCCGAGCGGAACTTCTGCCATTTGGCTCCAGTGGGCATTGCGACCGCTCGAGCCAACTCGGACTCGGGGGCGCCCATGTCTCTGAACAAGCTCTCGGAGGTTGAGGCCTTCAGGGCCCAGGCGGGGGGTTGGGGCCGGGGTTTGTTCCAGGCATGAGGCAGCCAGCCGATGGCGACAGGTGCTTCAGCAAGTACCGTAAGTGGAAGCCGCAAGGTGAAAAGCTGTGCATTCCGGATGTCCTGAGGTGCTTTTGGAAGAAGCCCTGCGCACGCTGGCAGCAAGGGCAGCCAGAGTTCACATGCATACCGACCCAGCCACACCTTTTCCACCTAGGGGCACGGTGTTACTGGTGTCAAAGCTATGAGGTGGAAAATGCGATGTGACGCGAGCAAAGTGAGGGCGGACAGATCAGACAATGAAAGACCCAGCTAGGCATTCGCAGAATTCGCGCGCACTGAGGGAAGCTCAGCTTCCTCACCAGCATCTCATCGAGCGCATCAGTTCATGGCGATGAGCTCACGCAGTAGCCTGGCAAAAGAGATTGCCAAAGGACGGTGAGCCTCCTCCCTTCAATCAACACGACAAATGACATGGAACTTTACAAGAAAAAAGGTTGGGAAGCGTCATGTCCAGTAGTTCCAATTGGTGCTACTCCTTTCGTCCCCGTGAAGCCAAGGTTTATGGGCGATGAAATCTCGCGCATCATCCAGGCCTGCCGGGGCTTACGGGTATCGAGCTGAGAAGCCCAGCTCCGGGCCTGGGTGTCGTTTGGGCGGGGGCAGCCAAGGCAAACTAAAAGCGCCAGATCTTGGAACCCCAAAGTTTGACCAAATCTAGAGTATGTGTGGTACTCCAAGCTGTCAGGAGCAGCGGGATTTGGAACGGAAGTATGAGGAGTTGATTGCGGCCCGCGGGCAGCTGAAGGGCCTTTGCAACAAGGCCAGGGACAGGCGCATTCAATATGTGCGCCTTTGCTTTCAAGCATGTGCTTACCTTCATGGATTCAGACAAATGCAGAAGCAAGCACACTAGCTCAAAAGCCGAAAGCTTTGGTGTGCAAGCTGACGCTTTTTGGGCTGGCCTTTGAACATTGACGCTGTACTTGCTGCGATCGTGCAGGCTAAGTTTATGGATACGCTGCTCAGCTGCATTCAACCTTCGTGGAACTACTTGCAATCATGCATCTACATCATGCATTCATATCAATCAGCTTGTCAGAAAACGAAAACCCCGTGTGGACCAGTAGCTTTCCTGTGGCGAGAGTCCTAAGAAGCGTTCAGTCTTGCAGTCCTTCCTGACGTGCCCCATGCCGAGGCAGAAAGAAATCCAGGATGTTGCGCACAAGCTGAAAGAAAGCAACAAGAGCTTGTGCCGCAACTTGAAGGAGAACCCAAACGTGCAGGCAGGAAAGACTGCGTGGGTTGGTGGGGATTGGGTAAGGCTCCTGGTGGAGGAAGTTTTTGTTTTTTTCAGCGCCTGCGTCACAGCTGGCACAGGGCCAGTTGCTCGTAATTGCAAAGCTCATGGAAGAACAAGCCCTGTGCCGTTCCATCCATTCCCAAAGAGAACATGCGGGACTCCTGCCAATGAATGCTGCAGCTCAACCCCCGCAGATTCCACGGCTTCCGTTTCCAGCATAATGACTGGGCCTGCCCCTTACACTTGGTTGCTTTTCGGGAGGAAGATTACTGGAGCCTTCTTGCCATGTTCTGCGAGATGAATGGCCCGGCCTGCCTGAGTTGCCACGCTTTCTGTAAACGTCATGCCAGGCTTCAAAAGTGCTGTCCCGCCTTGGGCGTTCGTTTTATCCAGCCTTGCTGCCTCCGAATCCGGGCAGGGCAACCTCCAGAAGATGCAGGCAGAGCGATCACAGGTCCAGGAATGGCTCGAGGAGACGAAAACCGACCTTATGGACCCCACCTCAGACCAACACAGTCGCGTAGCAGGTTGAGCAAGGCCAGCGAGGTTTTTGTTTGGCCTGATCCTTTGTCCAAATCTTTGTTGCTAGAGGTGCTGCTTTCAGGTGAGTAAAGGAGATTAAAGGAGGAAAGAACCCCTTGCCCAAGTTCAATTGGTTGCGTGTTGGGAAGTGACTGCAGTGGACTTTTGACACAAGTGCACGGTGGCGACGCAACGGCAACCAGCATTCAAACAGTTGGCGGCCAGCCAACAGCAACAACATGGCCCCCTGCACGGACCTTGGATTTCACCAGCTTTCTCCTGAGACACCTTGTTCAGTAGCGCCTGGGCCACAGCCTTTAGATTCCATCCCACGTGCTGGCTTGCCAAGGACATGTCCTTCCAGAACCTTGTGGCAAAGGCATCCTGCAAATCGCTCAGCTGGTCGGCAAATCCTGGGAAAACACAATTTGACACGTTGCGATACATGAGGCATCCCCATGCATGATGCAACGCCAACAAGCTTGGTGAGTGATTGTAGCGCCTGGTGCCACTCTGCTCCTGCTTGCTCCCTGCATATCACCAGGGCATGTGCAGTACAGGCCGTGCTCCTGCCAGAAATCCGAAGCAAATGAAAGTGCTGGCCGAAAATCGGTTTTGGATGAACTAGTTGGCGTTGGTGAACACTGGGACAACTTGTCTCGAAAAGACAGGCGAGCTCAGTCGAGTTGTTGGGGTCATGTTAGTGGCCCTTGGGAGTGGCAACGAGAACCACGGTCCCCCTTGGTTGTCAGCGTGCAGGCGCGGCCGAAGCTCAGCCTCGGGGGTCACAGGTTTCTGGTTCCGGCAAACCGGACCTCTCGCAGGTGGAAGCGGAGCGCCGCGAGCAGGAGCGCCTCAGCGAGGTCAAGAAGAAGGAGCTGAGTGGTTGGAGCGGGGACAGTTTTCAAATTGGAGACCCTCCCAAATGGTTGTTGTTTGGTGTCCTCTTAAGGTTGCCAAAAAAGGGATCACTTATTTGGAGACAAACCCTTGTAATGCATTTCATGTTTTTGGTGTCCAACTGCTGAAGCTGAGATAGTCCTTCTAGCAGCTTCCGTTGTTTCTCGGCCACAGCGAGGAACAATCTGCAAGCCAGTATTTGAGAGGCGGCAAGGGCCAACGGGAGGTTCCAACATAGAGCCAGAGCTGACTTTTCATGTCAACACGTGTGGCAATACACGTTGGTTCTTGGGTGGGCTAGTTGCCCGGTTCTCATCAAATGTTTTTTGTTTTTCCTGTGTGTGTGTTGTTTGTATGTGTGTGTGTGTGTGTTCTTTTTGCGGTAGTGGTTTCATGATTGAAGAGTCTCTGGTGCACAAGAGACTTGTTCCACCCCATGTCACTCAAGCAGAAATGGATTCAAAGAAGCGACCGGATTTTACTCCTACAGCAGCCACTGCCCAGGAGCAGAAGAATTCCCAGGCGGTGAAGGACCTGGAGGCGGAGTTGCAGCGAGAAAGGGCAGACCACGCGGCCCGGCAAAGCGAATGCCACTGAGGGCCATCTGTTTGGGAGCGCGAAGGTGCTGCAGCCTCCTTTTAGGTTGATGTTTTGACAAAGCCGAAAGCTGGTTCCTGGGCTGGCTGCCTTGGGAAATGTGCCAGCTGGCTAGCTTGCAAGCAGATGCTCACCGCATGCTTCCAAGGAGAAGGAAACTAAGTGTCTCAGCTGAGATTAGCAAAAAAAAGATTGGGCACATTGGATATTGCGCTTGCCTCCAATCATTCGGCATCAAGCCGGCAACTTGCAGCACCAGGTCTGGCAATTATTTTGGGATTTGGGTGAAGGATTGGTCCTTTTGGTGCGTCCTGGGTGCAAGGGCCCCCTTGCGGCTCTCTCCGCACACGCCAGGATTGCCAACCAGGAGATCAAGGAGTTGAAGGAAGAACTGCAGAAGAATAAGACCATCAGCCCTTTGGCTTTGATTGTGGGCTTCTCGAGTTTGAAACCTTCCTTTCGTTGTGCTTGCAAACGGCGTTTGCGTCACTGAAAATCCCAGTCAAACCGTTGAATGCCGACCCATGCTGAGCGGCATGCACCATGGAGTAACTGTCCATGATTGTGCCAATGTGAATGTTCTCCTTGGCACTCTCATTCCCACTGATATGGCAGCCCATTGGCAAAGCGGGACTTGTTGCTGGCACAGCCCAACACAGGCGATATCGAGTTCAAGTTTGAGGAGAAGAAACTTCGAGCAAGAGAGCAGGCCGCATCAACGTTTTTAAGCTTGGGATTGCTGAGCGCGCCGAACTAGTCATTCAGGGATCCTGTTTGTACTCGCTTTTCTTGGGCCTCAGGATGTGGGGAATCCCGCAATTTTATCGAGCTTACATGGTGTGAACGGGTGTCGAGGGCTCAAAAGGTGTGTCCAAGGTTTTGCGCTTCTTTCTGGTGTTACGTTCTTGGGAGTCCAGCGCAGCTGGCAGCATTTGCTTCGGAGGCACTGCTGCGAATCCACGCGCAGATGGAGAAGAAGCTCATGGAGGAGATAGCGAGCACCAGAGTGCTTGCCCCCCCAAAGTTCCTTGACGCAGCCTGCGCTGTGCAGACGGAATGAGACTGATTGCTGATTGGTGGGGTGGCCACTTCTTTCTAGCTGTGGTACGGAGCTGAGGAAATGAAGCCGTAGCCAGTCAGCAAACGGCATGCTTTAAGCCCGCGACTGCTCTGTGTGTGTGTGTGAAATCATACCAATGCAATGTGCATGAGATCAGGCTACTTGTTTGGGAATCAGGAAATAAAGTTCAGCCAGAGTGCACAGGCGAACGGCCACAGGACAAGGCCACAAGCCAAAGTCATTTCCTGCAGTGACTTGAAGCATGGATTTAGCGTGAGGATCTCGAACGACTCACAAACAGGTGTTGACACTAAAAGGTTTCCCTCAGCCTGCATATCATGAACATCAAACTTCTATATCACAAGGAAAAACAAGCTTTCACATGAACGAAACTAGCGTTTCCCATGACAGCGCAACTGGCTCATCACATCTTACGCTGCACAAGTGATTTTCTTCCAGCCGTGACTGAGGCTGGGGGGTATCAACAGTCAGCAACTGGGGTTTGTCTCTGACGGGTGGACTAGAGGAGCTGGACCGGTTGCTGGAGGCCCAGGAGATGGAGACGGCGGTGCACGAACGTGCTGGGGGGTTCCTGGAGGAACGCATCGAACACTTGCAAGGTCAGAAGGAGACATGGACCAAGGACCGGGAATTGGGATTTGGCCACTTAGGCCTGGAGCAAGCTGGATTTGCAGGTTGCTGTTGGATTTGTTAGGCAGCGTTGTACGCATTTGCAAGGTGGGCCGGGTGTATGCCTCTTCTGGCAGTTGTCAACCGCACCAGCCATCCACCGGATCTAACTTTCGTAGGATCCAAGCGAGCTGCCTCTTGGAACTCTAAAGCTTTTCAGGTGGCAGGAGGACCCCCCCCGCCCTTGGAGGACCACGAGAAGGAGGTGGACAACCGCACGGTGGAGCTGGACATGCTCAAGGAGCGCCGTGCCGCGGTGCACCAGGAGCTCACCGAGCTCGAGGAGAAGCGCGCCATCGAGGCGGAGGAGTACAAGGACCGGAGAATGCGGAAGCGGGAAGCGGGCGGGGAAGATGTTCAAGGAAAGCATGCGTTTTCGGCCGTTCAAGATGAAGTGGAACCTCGTTCACTCGTAGAGGTCCAAAAAGACATAGTTTCAGTCCCTAGCTGTACCAACGTACATGGCAGACCAGATTCAGAGCGTTGGAGCGACTTGCCAAGGCCCAAGAGTTTGCTCCCACGCCAGGCAAAAGAACAAGAGATGCGCAATGCCGTGCTCATCGAGAAGCAGCGCCGCGAACAGTACCAGCGCATGGCACCACGGCCTTGATGTGGTCATGGTGCTTGGCTGGCTGAGCAGTAGTGCTCAATCTTAGCTTTCTATTTATCGAAATGGGTACTTTCTCGCGCCTTTGTTCGGAAAGCAAAAAGCGAGCCAACCGATGGAAGGATCCTTTTGACACATGGCCCATACTTGCCAACACTTGCCAACACTTGCCAACACTTGCCAACACTTGCCAACACTTGCCAACACTTGCCAACACTTGCCAACACTTGCCAACACTTGCCAACCTGCACATGAAACATTTGGGATCTCAGCCTTGGGCAAAGGAGGAGATTCTGCGCCCAGGGCTGCTGCAGAGCATTCCATTCAACCCTTGGTTTGGTGCAGGATGGACACGTGGGAGAGCCTGCTTCTTGCAGGCCGCATTTTGTGCAAAAGATTGGTGCCGCATCTTGCCGGCCCAAGGCAGAATGAATCCTTTGAGGTTGCTTTTCTATATTGTGCACCTTTTTCACCACAGGACATGTTGAAGCTTTAATGCTCCGTCGCTACTATTTGTCCTAAGGTTGTTTTGGCCAAGGGTGAGGGGGGTCCGGTTTGCCGGCTTCTGGTTGGAACAGTTTCTTGCTGCTGTCCCCAGCAGATCCAGCACTCCAAGGCCTAAGGGCCTAAGGCCTGGAGTCACGTCCACAATCCATTGCCGAAGCTTGGGTTCGTAGCTTCTCACACACACACACGTCACAAGTCCTAGATGCCGTCAGCACCCGCACCTTCCCCTGGCTTAGGCGGAGGCGGTCCTCTTCCTGCAGGAGGAAGGCCGGAACTACATGGCGCGCCTGGACGCGCGCCGGGCCGCGATGAAGGGCAAGAAGGGCAAGAAGGGCCGCCCGGCACAAGTCAGGGCCAGCCAGGGACACGATGGGACAAGCGCTGCTTTGCCAGTTGGTTAGAACAGCAGCCGTAAATTTTCGGCATGGCGTGGGTCGTTGTAGCTGGGCAAATCCAAACAACACCAGGGATTCATGACCTTCCTGACACTATGGGGGGGGGCACTGCAGATGGATGCGCTTGCTCTGGTAGTACTGCTGGGCTTGCCCCGCTCAGGCAAGAAGAAGTGAGGGATGAGCTCGCAGGTTGTCTAGCCAAGCTGCCCCCAGCCACGGGAAGTCGCTGTTCCAAAATGGAGTCAGCGCACTGCCCATGTCTCAAGTTCGACTGGAGAATTTGCACCAATACGTGCAGACTCCCCTTAATGGGGATGTGCAGGTAGCAAAAAGGTGTTTGAATGTAGTGGGATTCATGGACTTTAGGTGGACAGGGAGCAATCGAAGCAACAGGTGCTTTTTTGCTTTTCCCCGGGTCCGATATGAGGTGGAGCCAGTTCTTCAGCACCGTGTCCATCAGCCGGCAGCAGGGCGCCGATTTGGCGGAGGCCGCCATTGTGGAGGCCATCTCCAGCCCCTCCATCGAGCAGCTGGAGCAGGCCTGGGGGGTTTTGGTGGGGGGGGCAGGGGGGGGGGGGCGAGATGAACGTCTCAAAACGCCCACACCCACCGACCATTCAACCATTTGCAGAGGCACGGCAGAGGGCGTTTAATGGCCCACCACCAAAAATCCGGCCACGTGGGCAATGCAAGCCTTTTTCGAGCACACGTTGACAGCCTGAGAGACTCTGCACATGGCGCCATGGGAGTCCCGCGACCCTGGTGCTCGCAAAGCACTGCCTGGGCCTGCCACACAATCTGCGCCGGACTGACACTCACCACGCCTTGCGAATGTCAGTACTTGGAAAGGTGCTTTGATCGAGTGCTTGAATGGAGTTGCCTGCAACTTGGAAGTTTCTCAGCTGAATTTCTGTGATTTGCTTTGATATATGTTTTTCTTTGCTGGAAAACTGCTCAGGTGTGCGTAGCTCTCTTGCTACCGAAATTATTTGGACAAACATGGCAAAGCAGTACACGGCAGGGGCGAATCTAAGGTCACCATGTTTGCTTGATTCTAGCTAGTTCTTTTTGAGGACACAAGTCGGAAGGCCCCAACCCCCGTGCTGCTTTTTGCGAGCGAGCGGTCCATGCCAGGCTCAAGAATGTTGTGAGAAAAGTACGCAGTACTCGCAATTGGATTTTGCCTACTTCCCTTCAATACTTCGATATCATGTATATTCATGGCACGTGTTGATATGTGCGTGTAAGCCTTCAAAGTCCAAGTGCAACAAGCTTGAATTGTTTTGAAGTCATGAGGCAAGCTTTAGCTTCCCAGCCATACTGCCTTGAATGAGCCTCCCTTCCTCGCAGGTTCTGCGAGCCAGCAAGGGCATCGAGTTCCAGGCGTGATGCCCCTGAGTGTTTTGTTGGGAGTCAACTGCGTTATCCGGGCTCGTCCGTGCCAGCCAGCAAGCATGACTTGACCCTGGGGGGAAGCCAATCGCATTGATTGCTTGCCTGAACTGCTTGGCATGCACGGCTCCCTTGACTTGATACAGCCGCAGGATTACAAGTACGTGCACGAGGCCAAGGCACTCCTGCTTCGCTTGAGAGAGGCCGGGTGCTCAACCCGCGAAAACGTCTACAGTAAACTCTTTGGGAAAAGCACCGAAACGAGGACGCGGGCGTTCTCAAGCATGACAATGACCCCCTGTCTTGCTTTTCTAAACTTAGATTGTTGTGAAAGGCTCGAAAAAACGCTGCATGGCGGTTGATTGGCATTGGTTGATTGGCGTTGGCTCCAGGCTTCGGAGGGAAAGTTTGCCTCAGGTCAAGAATGCTCTGGCAGAAGCAATGAAAGCGCGCAACCCCGACCAGCTTCGTGAGGCGAGGTGGAGTTGTGCAGATTCCCATTTGTTGCGGGTTATGTTGGGGTTGTGCTTTTGGCCGGCAGCTCAACACATTGGTAAGTAATCAAGTAATCTAGGTATGCTGTTGTGCTGCTATGCTTTCGCTTGTCTTGCCACTTGCGCTGTTGTGTACGTGAAGGACTTAATCTGGGAACAAAACGCTTGCTTCAGACACGGCAGCGCCAAGAAGTCTAAGCTCAACGGCCCGTACAGACTACTCCAGCCAAGTTTTTAGAGGATACGATTTGAGGCGTGTTATGCAATGTCGTGTTTGTTCTTCTTCTTTCATTCTTTTCGCGAAAGCAACATGGAGGCTGGATTTGTGCCTGAACTCTTGGCCGGTCGCAGGCCTTGCAAGCAGCGGTGGAAGCAAAGCTGCAGGGCGTGGACAAAGCAATTGCCCTGCTGGAGAAGCTGGCTCCTTGCCTCACTCATGCTTTCAATGGTGCCTGGGGACACAACCTCATAGATTCCAAGACAGGGGTTGAGTTCACAGACGCATCCAAACTAGGTTCCTCGTCGCTGACTTGGAATGGAGTGATCACTGGCAACCACTTCCATGTGCAAGGCTACATACACTTGACATCTTGATCCGCTGAGTCATCAACACCCCAGCTACAACTGCCAAACGCTTTGCACGCCCCACAGCGCCATTGTTTTTTCTTCTCACCTAGCGGCATACAGGCGAACTGCGCAACAACTAGAAGCCAAGTAAAGGTCCCGCGTTGGCTGAGATCTTAGATCACGAGACCAGATGGGGCACCTTGGGGATCGCGGTTCGGGGTCCTGCGCTGCTGTGTGTTCGCGCACGTTGGCCATGCCATTGATGGAAAGCGGCAACCGAGGACTCGGTGGTGGAGCGCCTGGACACGGCTAAGGGCTTGGCGCCCCTCAAGGAGGCCATCCAGGCTGCCGAGACGGCCAGGCGCGTAGCCCGCAAGACGGCGAGAGACGGGGAGAGAGGGCGCCCGCCTGTACAACGTGCGAATGCAGTGCCATGGAATATGTTGGTTGTTCTTCGTGGGCGTTTGTTTAGGTGTTGCTGCCCTTGTTGTACTTTGTTGTTTGGCGTTGAGAGATGTTCGCTGTGAAGATGATGTTTGCCCAAACAATTTTGCTACGTGATTCGGTCAACCTCTTTCCATCTTTCCTTGATTTAAGATCTTTCTGAGCGCATCTTCCATAGATTTGTCACAATATGTCTCAAACAATGATTCAGCAGACAGTCAAGACCAGCTTCACTAGCAGGAGAGGTGGAAAACAGTTGAATGGCCGCAACTCGCAGGGCCGTCGCTGCGTTATGCAGATGCTCACGGTTGGCAACCATTTTTTTTCGGTTGGGGGGGAGGGTGGGCGGGGTAGATGCTTTCTACACTGGTATGTGTCAACATTTAGGCAGAACGGAGGGGCTGCCCCAGATCTGAGACAACTCCATGCAAGGCCCTAGAAGTGCAATCTTTGGGCACAAAGCTGGCAGATCTTGTCAAGTTGCCCACAAAGTCGCAGAATTCGTGAAAGCTGGCTCAAACGACCAGGACCAAAAGTATCGGACCGGCGGAATGGTTCGTTCGCCACAGTCTCACCAAGAACAGGATCACAAAACCAAACAACTCAAGGCATGACACTTCAACACATTCAGTGCTAGGCTGCCGGAGGACATTGTGATCGTCGCCCGGGAGCGTCTAGAGCAGCGCGAGGCGCACTAAGCCAGATGTGTTTGCAATAAATTGAGGGAGAACGCCAGGGTGCGGGCCCGCTTTAGATTCCGAGCAAGAAACAAGCCTTGCAGGCTGCAATAGGAAAGTTTGTGTCAGCCACGCTTACTATAACTTGCAAGACTTTGTGAGCATGAACCGGGTGGGTTGGATGGAGTGGCATGGTTTACACAGGCAGAAATCATTGCGCTTGGAGCTTTGGAGATTTTGGGCACTTGGCGTTTCCAGGCAGCGCAGGAGGGCTTGGAGCGGGCCATGGAGGCCGCCAGGGTCCCGGACCTGCTCGAAGCCTTGAAGGTGGCCGAAGGCGTCGGGCATCGACATGGCAGGGCCTGATGCAAAGAAAGGGCCATAGGTGGATTGAATCCTGGTCTTGAAGGAAATGACTTCCCCTTTTTTGGTTGGCTTTCCTCACAAGAAGGCCCTGAGCTCAGGAACCCTGGCCGGTTTGAGGGACCTTAAGTAAAAGCCCCATGCATCATGTACCTGGCTGCGCCCACTGAACACTCCGCTTCGCAGGCATGGACTTGCCAGCAGAACCCGAAGCCCGTGAGCGAGTTGAGTTGCTGGGGCAGACGCAAGATGCCTTGCAGCTCCATGGCGGCAGAGATTGAAGCGAAGCTTCGGGGATCGCCACGTTTGCCTGTGAGGAAAGCCATGAACACCAAAGTCATCCCCGACTTGTCAGCGGCGTTGACCCTGGCAACTTGGTGGAGTACGCAGAAGAATGGCCGAGCTGGTTATGTCCAGTGCCAGCCAGAACAACACAGCATAGTTGCCATGGCAGGTGGCAACTTCCCTCTGATTGCTTCACTGAGGCCAGCAAGGCAGGACTGAAGGAGCACCAGATGATCCACGAAGCCAGGGCTCTGCTAACGAAGCTGCCTGGCGTGGGACATGGTGACAGGGCTGCCCAGTAGGACACGCTGCTGTTCGTTGTGCCCACGGAAAATGGCGGGCAAAGCTCCAAGTCTGTTGCTTCATTTGCGCTGTTTTGTCCGGAGAAGTTGTCAAGCTGCAGTTCTGCAAGGCTGATGAACCGGAGGGAGACTGTCAAGAAAGAGCTGGAAAAAGCCGTGAAGTTTCGCCCCTTGCCAGCACCAAGCATGCTCACAAGCTGGCGGCTTCCTATTTGCCTCCCTCCAGACAACACAGACATCCAGTCCCATTTGGGATCATGTATTGACCGTGGATTCCCAAAGTGTGCTTGAGGTATGGCAACAAGTTGCTTAGAGGGTGCCCATATTCATCGCAGTGTGCCCAGGCCACCCTGGCAAGCTGAAGATGACCATCATGTCAGCTCGGCTGGCGCAAGTAAGCTTGAAGCGGATTGTGGACGCAGAACCTCAGGCCAAATATGGCAATGACCTGCTAGCATGCGCTGACGCGGGCATTACACGAATCAGTCAGGTGGTACCTCGAAACAACTGGCCGGATGTTAGGGCTGTGAGTGGCTTTACCGCCTAGCTCAATGAGCAAGTGAGCACTGCGCAACATGTGAGAACCTAGACATTGCTGATTTTTTGTTGGCACGGTGTGGCGGCAAGGGTTCGAGCAGCACAGAACACACAAAGGAGTTGCAACGGCACACCTCACAGTCACAAACAGATATCTCCGCCCAGTTCTGTTGCCCCAAGTTGTTTGTGTGGCTAGCCTCATGCCCTGCTTATTCTGGCAACATTTGGGTGGCACTAGCTTGGAGTGCTTTTGACTGATGAGGGTGCTCGTCTCAGGAAAACGTCAGGAAAAAGGTGGAGGAGTTGTTGGAAGCAATGACCGATGCCGCTGGCATTGAGCAACGTGAGGAGACGCTGAAAGCAGCCGCAGCCCGTCCAGGATTCCAGGCATACGTTTTGGCCTTTGTGACTTTTTGGCCATTTCAGGAGCCCTAGAAATGTGGTGCTCAAGCAGCGCGAATGTTTTTTGCGCGGCGCCGCAGCTGTTGTTGCAACTTGGTCATGTGAGGTCAGTTCGGGTATGTCCGTGTTATACCACCGAGGTTGAGTATAGCATACCTGCAGAGCTGCTGAAGAAATTTGAGCCTTGGTCAATAGAGTTTCACGTCAGGTTGCCTGCATGTGCGGCTTTGCTGCAATGGGCGACCCGTCATGCTGCATTTGTAGCTAATAGGCAACGGGAAGTCATGCTGACGGACGCACCACGTTGTAATTGCAAAGAAGGCCGTCAAACTGCTAGTCCAGAATGCTTCCTCCAATCAACTGCAAATGCGGATGAACCCGATTAAAATGGCCATGCGGAAAAGGGCTGCAACCTGGCCCTGTTGAAGCTCCAAAAAAAGGGTTGCCCAAAATCACAGGCAAAGGGGAAGATAAATGAAGGTAGTTCAATCATGCGACTGGTAGAGCTGAGCACGGTTGACCTGCGACTGGAACTGGTCGCAGTCAAGGAGATTGAGCTGGAGGAGCTCAAGAATTTGCATGCAGCTATCCGGCAGGGCGACCCTGAGGTCCGGCGAGGGCAGCTAACCAGCTAACCCGGGCAAGACCATACGAGAGCATACGAGAGCAAAGTCGACTCGCTGTGGATGTTGGTGGTTCCTGATTTCGGCCAGCTCGACATTCTCGGCCCCAACAGCTCAAGCTCGGTTGGACCAAATGGCATTGAGCCCTTTGCGTGCAGGGCTTACGTGAGTGCATCGAGAAGTGCGAGGAGTTGGGCATTAAGGTTGTGGAGTTGCTGGAGGCCTGTTGAACTCAGAATCTTAGAGGAAGGCGTGAAAATTGTGGAATGAGCAAGATGCATGGCAGGCAGATGCATGGCATTGAAGGACGATTGAGAGGAAAAAGTTTACCATGGTTTACCCCTCCCCCTCATTCCCCTCTTTCTATGGGCCTATGTATGGGCAACCTCCACCAGCCCACGCACGTTGGCTGCCTGCGGTGAGGCCAGGGTTCTCTACCGGGACTGGGCAGCTGCCTGCGAAAAGATTGACGTGGAGGCGCGGAGGGGCTGCTTAGGTGCGCGTCGCATTGGATGTGAACCGGCCAAAGGCGTTGCAATGAGAAGGCTGTGTTCAATGCGCAAAGCGCGTGTTGGCTCTTCTTCTTCTTGTTTCGCACCGGTATTCAGGCAGCGGCATGTTGAAGTGCATCAGCACCATCCACGCGTCCAACACATGTCCTGCAGCGGGGTGAAAATAGATGGCACAATTCCAGTTCATGTGTTTATGTGGCTAGGTTAAGGGGACGACTACAACCAACACTGTGGCATTGTGCCATCTACTTTCACCCAACTGATTGGTTATGAGCTCCTTGTTGATCCGTTTCTGTAGCCTGTTGCGTTGTTTCCGCTCTCAACTTGATTGCCAAGTAGCCCGCAAGTTGCAGCAATCAATTCGGCAGCATTGCTGCATCCTGCAAGCAGGGATCACGAATGTTTGCATGCTTTATGGCAGGCGGACATGCAAAAATGAAGTTGTCTACTGGGTGAAGCACTTGCGGGGCTCAACGCAAACCAACCAGAAGCGAGCAACCAGTACTTTTGGGGTCATAGCAATGTCATTCAGTTGAAGCCATGTGCGATACTTTGTTACAGTCAAGGATGAGTTGCCCTGCGTATGCAAGACCATGCAAAACCTGGATTTACCCGCACAAACTTACATAGAAGCCCGACTGCGCCCGTTCCAGTAATAGGAACTTGTATTTCTTTCAGAGGAGACCCGTTTAGATGCGTTTCCAGCTGAAAAGACTTCATAATAAGCCTCCAGAAACGAGCGCAGCGGACCTGACAGGCCACTGTGGAGCGAGTGGAGCAACTGCGCAGCGCCCTCAAAGCAGCCAAGGACTGCACGGATCCTGACGGGGGCATGAACCTCGGGTGGCCTTTGGCGGCCGAATGACGGTTGGCCTTGAACAGCACTGCCCTTTGTTTCAGGTGACTGCAGTGTCCCACCTACTGCAAGGCCCCCACACCAAACAGTCCACAAGTCTTTGCTTCATCTTGCTGTCCGGTTTTGTCTTGGGGACTCTCTTGCTGATGTGTTCTTTTGGCCCGAGGGGCAAAATGTGAATGAGTGCACCACAGCAGCGGCTTCTGAAGGATGTCAGGAGTTGCCCCACACCACAGGGAGAGTGAGCTATCATGTAAAGGGAGCGCTTAAATGACTTGATAACTTCTTAGTGCGACATGTTTGGTTTGTTAGCTTGGGCTTTCAAGGCTGAGACCATTGACTTTTGTACTGGCGCTGACAGGCCCACCGTATTTAGCTTCTGACGGTTTGCGAGATCCGCTTAACTCTGAAAACTTCCCGGGCAAACTATCTTGCAACAGAAGTAGTCCTGCAAGAGCAAGAGCAAACATGTTGTCTGGGCTTAGGCGACCTTTGACTACGGGCAGTGCAACATTATGCGGCACGGCCAGGATCTCGGCGTCAACGCGCTGGTCCTGACCAAAGGAAACGACGCCCTTCGCCACTTAGAGCGGAGAATCAAGACAGAGCAGGACAGGCCTGGCTTCAACGGCCTGGCACAGGCAAGTTGTTGCAGCACAAGGGCACCAGGACTCTATAGACCCCAAATGATACCCTCAGCACAACGTCTCCACCAGGCATTGGATATTGTTGAAGCAATGCCTAGATTCAAAGCATTGCTGGCATTGAACTGATTTTGGTCAGCGGTGCCTGCGTTGGAACATATGATTGGCAAATAACACAATTCTGAAGCAGCTGTTTGATTCCGTTAGATGGTTCCCAGGGATGACAGCCAGCATATGGTAGAGCTGTGGCCGAAGTACTTGAAGCCCCGTTCCTTCTGCTTTCTTCGACTTCTTTTCTTTTCCTTGAGGAGCTTGCAGAGGCGGTGCACATGCGCAAGCTGGAGGTCATCGCGCACTGCACGAAGCAGGCCTGCGACGCCGGAGCCCACGCACCTCTGCGCAAATGGCTCATACCGGGCAAGCGGTCGCATGTGACAAGGGCTCCAGCTCTGACTCACGGGAGTCCCGGGAGCTGGAATGAGCAAGTGAGGAGGCACACGTTGAGCTAAACGGAGCAACAGGCTTAGCACAAGCAACGTGAAGCCTGCGTTCCAGGCCAGAAAAGGCGAGATATGGGAGATTTAGGAAACCCTCCTGCCAGAACAGGGGGGATTGGGTACCCTTTGTCAAGGCTAGTGAACAAAGAGATGCTGTCAGCTACTTGCAAATGGGCTGCTATTTGCTTATTTGCATGTTGTAAGTACTCATGTAGAACGCATTTGGCAGGGAAGCGCGGATGATTGTAGTGCCGGGCGTTTGTTTGTGCAGAAGGTGACCCAATCAGCCAGCTCAGAAGAGGCGCCCACTTTTCAGCAGGCTATACACCACCAGAGTTGCTCCAGTGTTTCAACACCTCAAACCCCCACATTGGCACGCCGGCATCCATGTCGCCTTGGATCTCAGGACCATCCCTTGGTCACGCGGGCACATGGTTTACTGGAGGCTGGCTGCGCACCCAAACCTTCAGACGGTTTCTGAATGCGCGGACACGGCGGTTGTGAGCTGTGGGAGCTGTTGGGCTCACGTTTTGGTCCCCAGCTTCGTCCTAGGCATGCTGGAAACCGGTCAGTCCCGGGCTGTCACCAGTGCCAGGTGCTACAAACAAAGCGAGACAGGCTCGGCGCTGCCTCGGATCGAGCAGAGTCTTGCACGTATTGAGCAGCTCCTTTTTGCATCATGTTGTGGGTTGTTATTCGTGGGCAAACCACTAAGATCCACCCCTTTGTTGAAAGACCATGTGTGGCGCCGTTTCCTCCAACCCACCATCCGTATGTGAGGGGAAAGAGGAACACGCCAGTGACGCACAGTTGATTGTCAATATCCGCACTGGTTGCCAAAGTGTTAACAGAAGTGTACGTATTGATTCCTTAATTTACGTGTGCATGCTCTCCCTTCTTTGTTTGTCTCGTTGTTTGTGCAACGTGTTTGTGCTCGCACAGATTCATACGTACCCTTTCTTGGCCTGAGGAGCTGCATTTGCTGAACGAGACTTTGGACCTGGCGGTGGCAGCGCCTGCTCTGCCGGACAGCGAGACCTCCGCGGCATTCGGCAAGCTGCCGCTGAGCTGAATGAACTCGTGGACCCTGGTTTGATTCACCTGATGGAAGACATTTAAAGTAGTCTTGGTATGATTCACTTTCTGGTATGATTGGAAAACACTCTCTGGTTCACTGTCTGATATGATTCACTTGCTTCAAACTTTAAGGTCTTCCAAACCCGTGGCCTTCGAACACAGCTAGGGGCCTCCAAGGCCAGGCATGTTGCGGGTGGCTTCGCTTGCACATTTGACCTTCGGTGCCTCACAGACACTAGGCCGATCCGCTTGGATAAATGGTCACGACCCGCACTTCCGACCTCAAGTAAGTCAACACAACTTACAAGTTTGTTATCTCAATGGGGCTGATCTCACAAACCTACCCTTGCGAATTCGGCATCTTGTCACATTTGGCGCTGGTGCCCGACAGCATACCTCGGCACCAATTAGTTATATAAACGAAAAGAACAGTGTCCAACCTTGGTCCTTAAGGGTACACCAATCATTCACCCAACCACATACCACGGACCTTCAGATAGCCCTCAGAGAATGCATGACGCTATGACATGCCA